AGTTAAAGCAATGGTTCCCTAAAGATGGTGGATTACTGGTCATGGATGATCATATGACTGAAGGAGGAGACGGTAAATAAATAAATAAATAAACTTTAATAGCTAACACAATTACTGGTAACCCAGTAGTGTACGATAAAGAAGTGTTAGACCTTTTCACCAAACATTCTCATCGTCGTAACATTATCGTTATCTACCTTTGTCAAGATATGTTTCCACCTGGCAAATATGCAAAAAGTATTTCAAGGAATGCTCATTACGTGGTTGCTTTCAAAAACCCACGCGATCAATTGGGTTTCAAAAATTTATTGTTACAAGCCTTTCCACTGTTCTTTCCTTTCCCTTTGAAATCAAATCAGTGCTTTTCATGATTGGAATATGGGGTCTCGTATGTACAACGGATAGAAAAAAGAAAAAGGAAAGATTAGAAAGCAAAAAGAAAAAGAAGAACTAAGTCAGAGCGACACATGTTTTCAAAAACATTTTTCCATTTCATCATCCCTAAAATAAGTAGTAATGTTTATTCAAACCTTTTGCAAAGAATGCTGAATTACAGGTTTAAAAATTATATTAACAAGAATTATGGGAGGAAAAAGGGGAAAAACTGTACAAAATGCATCAGGCTACATACAAGTAAAAAACAGCCTCTACGTAATGATAATAATACTGACATGATATAATGTTTATCGTAGAAAAACGAGTATAATTAAGTTGGCAGGTACTTGACTATCACAAAGTTCTTAAAACGATCGGTGGACTTTTTGGGGTGATACTGAGTACGATTTTTTTGTAAATTATAGCGGTCTGAAGATTTACGAGCGTCTTACATTGCAGTATAAAGTGGTTGTCATTATGAATACGACTCATAAAGGAATCACAGGCATCACTACGGCGTGCATCAAGGTGTATACCGGCTAGCACTAGGGTATTTGAGTACGAATGACCTGGCCAAATAATGGCGAGAGCACGCCTCTGCACTGACTCAAGCGTCTTACATAAGTAGGACGGTAAATTGGCAAATGCAGCAAAGGCGTATTAGGCAGCAACAGATGTAGACGATATCTTCCGAGAGGACAGAACTTCTCCTGAGCTGCCTTAAAGCAAACAACGTTAACCGCCTGTTAGCTTTCTTCAGCAGATAGTCAACATGCGTTCCCCAGAAAGGTCATTGGACAAGTTGACGCCTAACAGCTTGAAGAACAAGACCTCTTCTATAACAGCGTCCCCGGATGCGACCGGCGGCGCCTTGTAACTATTATACTGAAGGAAGCTAATGGTCATACACTTACATTTAGTAGGATTAAGGCGATGTTATTGGTGTTAGCAAACATTTTGGATTTCATTCACAAAGAAGTTAGGCACAGAAGGAGAATTTCTTGGCAGAATCTCCATGATAGCTAAGTCATCAACAAAATTGATACGCAAGCCCCAGGAAGAGATCAGGTAATTAACCATGCAAGCAAACAAACTAGGCCCTACACGGGTACCCTGTGGTATCCCGCCGCACAAAGCTTGGGAACAAGAACTGACCGTACCTTTGCGCGTGACCTGAGATCTACCTTGCAAGAAGCACGCAAGTCAGCGTGGCAAACTGGCGTTTAGATCAAACATACATAGTTTTTCTATAAGGATTTTATGGTCTATTAAGTGAAAACCCTC